TGCTGGCATAGGGGCTGGTGTGGCCACATGTACCTTGTCAGTTCAGTAATATGCTGAGTTTTTAACCTTTCAGGAAGTGTTGATTTCATATTTTATTAGGTTTATACAATAGAAACACATATCCTTTAATTATTTTTTATTATCCTTAAAGCTCACTTTTGAAATCTGGGATCTGTGATTCTGTTTCAAACTACAGTTTAATAGTCCCATATTCAAATAAAAAATAAGTCATTAATTGCAAAAATTTAGGTCAATTTCAATTGCTTAAATTAAGCCACTCTTTAAGTACAAGAAAAATATTTGAAGGAATAATTAGTTTTCAGTTTTATATTCCATTATTACTAAATGTTAGAAATGCTTAAGTAAATTATATTATCATAGTATATTTCATGCTTTGAAATTTTTTGAATATCAAAAGAACTTTTAAAATAAAGAAGCAGAGGTCTAGATTCCATAGAATGTAAAATATAAAAAAACTTAGGAATGCTTGAATTTGCATGAAAACTAAATGAGGAAACCTAACGGTTTCCTGAATAAAGTGTCCAGGATACTCATGTATTTATGTAGAAACCTTGGGTTAAAAAAGGCACTAGTAGGCTTGGAAGCCACAGAATGGACACATCAAAATCAGCTTGGCCTCTCCTGAAGATTTAAAATAACATAAAAGGTGGAGATATCAAGACTTTGTTTGCCTATCAAGGGAAAGCTACTTCAAAAGACAGTTCTATCTCTGACTCTGGAAAGAGATAGGACATTCTAAATTCCACAAAACATTACTATTGTCTTTTCCCTTAAGAGTTAATCCAGCTGGGTCTGTCAATCACCTAGCCAAGAGAACTGGAAAGCTGACTCACCTGAAGAAATGCTAGGGAAATGGGAGGAATAATTATCCCTTTAGTGAGATGAGATACTCTCCAGGAACCTTCCCCACACAGTTGCTTGCTGATTTTCAGTTCTAAGCCGGCCCACTTTTCTGAGTTCTAACTCTTAAAACCATAACTTACTTTTTCCTTCTTTCTATCCCTTTTTTGGATACCAGCTAAAATATTATGCATGTTTGTCCTGAACGTTGGGGCTTTCTCACTTTTGCTCTAAAGAACCTCCCCCCTTCCACTGCTGTTCACAGACCTCCATTGTTGAACAGGTCGATTTCCTTTTCAAAAAGGCATGATTTCTCTCTCCCTCTTCCTCCCCCTCTCCCTCTCCCTCTCCCTCTCCCTCTCCCTCCCTCCCTCTTATCCATCCCTTTCTCCCAGCAAGATTTACACACATGTTCACATGCATCCCCCCATATACATGTATTCACATATATGCCACACACACAAATTTATTTTCTATTAATTCTTTGATGGTTTCAACAAAATAAGGGCATAGATCAAGACAACAAAGGTCACTGAATCCAGGGAACAACTAAGGGAACTCAGTATGAGAGATAAGCCCAATTAGAAAGTGATCTGTGAAGATTGGAACTGAGTCTACAAGAACTCGGGACTTTTCCATGGGAAGAATATGAGTCTATAAGAAAAACTGGTTAAAGTTGAACATGCAAAATTACTGAGAAGCCAAAAGAAATCCAAAATATCAATTACTATGAAGAAAAAACAAGTTAAAAGCTAAAAATTATCAATTATCATTTTCATTACTCCCTAATCCTTGTTTTAACAAATACAAATGTCACCAAGTTCTATCTCATTTATTATGCCTTAAGAATAAGACGTCCAAGCCAGCCCTCTCTATCTGTGGGTTCTTCACCTATGGATTGAGCCACCATAGATAGAAAATATTGGGGGAAAAAATCATGCCATACTGAACATGCTTAGTTTTTCCTTACTGATATGTCCTAAAAATACAGCATAACAAATATCTACATTGTATTAGGCATTGGTGTAATCTAGAAGTGATTTAAAGTACAAAGAATGAATATCCGTTGGGAACAGACACGAAGAATTGAAAAAGAAAGGGCTGAAAGAAGGCAATTTATGTTTTAACAACTCTTTCAGGTGATTCTTAAACATGGTAAATTTTGATTTCACAGACCAATCGTTCCTAAACTGTTACCCAGGAAACATTTTGTTTATGTTGGTTTTATTTTCTGGGACATGGTCTCATTTTATAGCCAGGTGAGCCTTGAAGTTACATTTCCCTAGCCTCAGCCTCTACAGTCCCTTAAATACATGTGCCTCCACATCCAGCTTTCATAAAGCCCTTTTGCAGTGCAGATCAATTAGCCAAAGCTGGGACATAAAGACCTCATAAGCACTATGGGAAGTTACCCGATAAGCACCATTCCTCTTTTAAATATTTTTGTTTACTGTTTTATGTGTATCGGTGTATTGCCTACATGTATATAAGTGCACTACAGTGACCACACATGTCAGAAGAGGGAGTTGGATTCCCTGGAACTGGAGTTAAGGGCTTTTGTTAGTTGCCATGTGGGTAATGGGAACCAAACCCATAGAAATGGAATATCTATAATTTTCAAATCATAATCTATGGAGACCAAAGAATTCAAGAGAGAAATTTTAGGTTACAAACCTCACATCCCCACTTCAGTTACAGTAGAACTGGATTTAAACATAATGCTTTTCATAAAATGATCCACGCAGAGATACGACTTTATTGCTGCAGAGGGTTATATTATATTGATATGGTTCTAATTTAGAAATTCCAACTTTATATAAAAAATCAGGAAAGAACACTGCACAGAAATGATACTGACTTCCCTGAATAATATCAGAATTGACTTCCACAGTGGTATGAAAATTGATAGACCATACAAAACAGAATGGCCCTAAACCTTTTCTAAACTATAGGAAACTTTTTAAAGTGAAAGTTCAATTAAAAAATAAAAGTAGAGCTATTCTGCTTAAAAGTTAAAAATGGGGAAGCCATCTTCCTTCCTATAGGTTTTCCTTTGCATGCTCCCCTAAAATACTCCCTTCCCTTGCTCACCTAGGGCAGGCCTAACAACTACCAGAGAAAACATTATAAAAGGTGAGTCAAAGCAGCAAAAAGCACTTCATCTGTATTTAAAAACTGATATCTGTTTATAGATATACATCATGAAGTTATAACAATAAAGTTGACACTTTCAAAGAAACAAAAAGAGAAGCTAAAGCAAGGGCACAGGTTCCACTCACAGCGCCCACAACAGCTGCTGCAACTCCAGTTCCAGGGGAATCCAATTCCCTTTTCTGGCCTATGCAGGCATTGCATGCACAGGTGTACTTCTATGCAGGCAAAACACTCACACACATAAAATAAAAAATTTAAAAAGAAAATGCAACACTAAAGAGACGCCAGCCTTGATGACACACACCTTTGATCCCAGGACTCAGGAAGCAGAGTCAGGAAGATCTCTGTGAGATCAAGGCCAGCCTGGACTATATAGAAAGTTCCAGACCAGCTAGGGCTACAGAGAGACCCTGTCTCAAAACATACCATAACAAACTAAAACAACACAACCAAACCAAAAATAAGAACAACAACAAAAAAAGAGAATAAAATTTGCTAAAACTCAAATTTAGGTGTACCACAATTTAGAAACCAGTTGATACTTTCCAAATAATCATGACTTGCTATATGGTTGAGAAGTAGAAAAATCAAAGCAGAATATTATTATACTCAAAACACACTGTGCACACATTTTAAATTTAATATTCTTCCTAAAATATATTGACAGTATCTGCTCTAATCACAAACTAATGTACTAGAGAAATATTTCACACTGTAAAGGAAATACGAAATGGCTTAAAGCATACTATTTGATGTGTTACCTCAGTGTATACTTCAATTAATTAACTGGATATTTAATTGCTTTGATATACTAACTGAACAATTATCTAACTTCAGTTTTACTAAATCACCACTGAAGTCAGCAACCAAACAAAATGTTATGTGTTTGTTTCCTTTGTACATTCATAAAAAGTGGAAAAACCAAACAATTAAGAAACTCATCATGTAGCATTTTGAAGAGTACAAAATCTACGAATAAAAATATTCTAAGCCGGGCATGGTGGTGCACACCTTTAATCCCAGCACTCAGGAGGCAGAGGCAGGCAGATCTTTGTGAGTTCAAGGCCAGCCTGGTCTACATAGTGAGTTCCAGGACAGCTGGGGCTACAGGGAGTCCCTGTCTCAAAAAGACTATATATATATATATTCTTCAGGATTAGGTTTAGATGATATTATCATATCAGTGTCAACAGAATAAAGAAAATATCTTTTAATTGTGTAGCCAAATGTATTCCCAATTTTAATTATAAAACATACTGTCACTTTTATAAATAAAATGAAGAATATTATGGACATAGTCTATCTAAATACCTTTTCCATTTTACGTTAAGTGTTTTATAAAAGATGTAACTTTTTCTGAGGACTATTTCTACTCACATGTTAAAGAAACCCAAACTTTGCAAAATTTGGCTGTTCACTGCATATGACACACATGACAGAGATTTTAAACAATAACTAAATATTAAAACAACAGTTTGAAAAATTATTTCCTAAATGTTATAATTTGACATTTTATATGTTTAAGGCTTAAAACATTTTATTTGTGAGCTCTAAAATATTTTAAGGAAATGATAAAAACATTTACTTATTCCAACTTTCCCTTTACTAACATTATCTCAATTTAGCAGACCTCCTTTAGTTTCTGACTTCCTTAACCAAGGTAAACAAATCCTCACAATTTCAATCATTGTATTTTTGTCAGAGATATTTTCAATGTGATGTGAAAGTTAAACTGATAATTCACATAATTAGACAAAAAAGAAAATATTCATTGCAAAGACTCTTTCTAAACCTTTATATGCTCAATACACCTTTGTCTTCCTCATTACTACAGAAAATTATCAATACACAATTAAAATAAGTAATAATTATTTAATTGTAAGATAATACTTAGGATATACTTTTGAAAGAGACATGATAAAATTATAATACATGATAAAACAGAACTATAAAATTCCCCCCAAAACAAAGGAAATTTCACTTACATCCACAGCTCTTTTAATAAAAGGAATCTGTGTGCCACTGTCCAGATCTTCATTTATAATAAGCCTTCTAGCCCACTGACCTGCCCTGACAACACCACTACCATGAATTAAAACCATCAGTTTCTGTGGATTTGTCAAAGCATCCTCACTCATAAAGATAAAACTCTTTGGTTCACTTTCAGTGGCATCTACCTGTAATTAAAAAAAAATTAAATAATAAATAAATGTTTTCTGATCAGGCATACACACAAATGAAAGAACAGCTAATGGTTACTCTATTATTGAATGATTATTACAGAATTATAAAAAAAGCTTTAAAATGAAATTAAAAGTCACTAGAGATTAACAATTATACATTAGGTGGATGAGCAACACAGGACAATAAATATAAAAATGCATGAAAAATAATGGCGGTGCACCTCCCTACATTGTTGTTGCTCATTTAGTGCTGTATGATTACCCTAAACTAATTTCTAATGCTTCCTGTGATCCAGGTACTATGCTGACTGTGTAAAAACACCCATACTATCACAATCCTAGTAAAGGATCACTATTATAATAATCATTAATAGATGAAGAAATTGTACTTAGATAAGTTTAAGTTGCAATATTATATAGCATACAGTCTATAATTCATCACTGAAGTGTATTGCACCTACAATACAAAAATTTAAAAAACCCAAACTGATACATACAGCTATTGAATATGTTAGCCAGAACATTTAAAAGGGACGAAAGGATACTATTTAAAAATTGAAACATACATTGCTCTGTGACTTTCAAATTACATTCATATTGTGAATGCAGGATCACATAACAACTATCACTGTATTCCAATAATCTTACCTATGTATTAATATTTGTGGATTATATTCAGTGCTAGCTACATAAAGTAAGATTTAAATTCTAAATATACAAGAGATATTAAGGAAGGGTAACTTCCTAACCTTTTATATCACACATGTGGACTGGAGAGATGACTAGTGATTAAGAGCACTGGCTGCTCTTGCAGAGGACCCTGGTTCAGTTCCCAGTACCCACATGAAGACTAACAATCTTCTATAACTTCAGTCCCAGGAGATCCAGCACTGTGGGTATTGCACATACATGGTGCATTTGCATTCATGCAGGCAAAACACTCATACACATAAAATAAAATAAAAAATTTTAAAGAATAAATATATTATATATGACACAGCACACTCTGTGGTAGTCTACATCAGCAATGACCATTAACTAGGAATGCAAACCTTTGTACAACTAGATTAGAACCAGAGCTGAAAAGTTCTGGTGGCTTGCAATGTGCCCCCACCCCCAAGAGTACACACACACACACACACACACACACACACACACACACACGGAAGAATATCTACCTATACACAGAATATTGCGCCAGCTCTTCACTCTGTCAGAAGTGTACATTCATACAGTTACCAAAGTAAGAAATACATTTTAGAGACTGCCAGAGTGCACCTAGTTCTGGCCTCCCTCTGGCATAGGGCCTGAGAATGCAGGGGACTGCCTGAGAGCCCCCAGATCCTGCCTCCATGTGGTGCTATCAAAATACCTAAAAGCAAATCCTGAATCCATCACTCTAGAGTCCAACTTTGGATGACAAAAGAAAAATGAGGAAGAACCCAATAGAGGGATGCTTTTGGAAGCCCTTGTCAAGAAATTCCAATGGACTCTCATAGGAACATTTGAAAATTGCCCTGTGCTGACATTTTTCTAGTTCCCTATCTAGAACTTGTAATGCTTATTATTCTTGCCTTTACTTCTCCTTCACATCTCCTAGTCACAAGTCAAGAACCTTCTTTTCTCCCTATAGTTAAGAATTATGCAATTTGGGAGTCTTTTAGATAGATCCACTGAAGGGGGTACCCCAATTGCCTCACCCTGCATCCCTGTACAGCTTGGAAGAAGCTAGAGCAGTCTGCATCCCAATTCCCCATTGGCAATATGGGTAACCTCTTCAGATGATGGCGTGATAAGAAAAGGAAGTAGGAATTGCCTATAATGTTAGGGTAAAAAGACTTC